GATTTTGGTATCAGACCGTTTTTGTCCATCTTATCAAGCCCTCACGAAAATGCTAACCAGCCCGGCAGATTTGTACATTCCTATTCCAGCACCCCGTATATAACCCTATGTATCAGCCCCAAATCAACTCCCTCCTGGTACCTCCTATTGTCCCACGTACCAGTAGAAGTATCAGCAAATGTTCATCCCCCTTATCAGCGCGTTATCAGACCTCCTACCAGCATCCTTCAAAGTAAAGGTCCAGTTTTAAGAGTATAAACACGATCATGATTCTATAGGTTCCTGATTGCTTGTTGTCGTCCAATAGGGATTGTCAGAATTTGCTGAATGTCAATCGGGATCTAGCCGGCCAATCAGATGCGTTCAGACAGTTTGAGGGCGGAGTCAAGCTGGGCATCGGATCCTTCAACCTGGTGAGACGTTCACTGGTTTGTTTTAGTCCCAGACGGCGGAATTTAAACAAGTAACATTAAACATTTGATCCAGAGACAGTTTTTTAGCTTCTAAGCTGTTGGTTACTTTGTGTTTATGTTGTGTAACATTTTGTAACAGTGATTTGCTGCAGATGATCCCATCGGCCGTTGATTGGTTTGTGCCGCCATGTGGAGTTTGTCATCAGCGTATTGGTGGACAACAGAAATAAATACCCCCCGTTAGCTCCATCACGTCTTCTGTCTCTCCCTCAGATGTTGTCGCTGCTCCCTCAGAGGGTTCTGAGGTTGTTGGAGTTCATCGGGTTCTCAGGGAACAGGGTGAGCGCGCCGCCTCCCGCCGGTCCGCGGGCTGCATGCAGACTATGAGTGTGTCCGTGACGCGGTCCGTCGTGTTTGCAGGGCTTCGGTCTGTCTCAGCTGAGAGAAGGAGCCTCCAGTCACAGTCTGCGCTCCATCCTGTGCGCTCTGACGCTGCTCTTCTACAACACATACGTGTCACTCATACTCGGTAGGAACAGCTTGGGGGGGCGGGGCGAGAAGCTCGCTGTCGATGACGTCATGGTGGAAGGTAACGCCGTTGTTGATCACGTGTCCTGCAGGAACTGGAGAGGGGAACCTGGTGGAGGCTGAAGCTCTGCTGGCGCCGTACCAGCAGAAGTACCCCAAGGTCCTCCAACGCGCCGCCACACACACACGCGTGTGTCACGTCAGCAGGCGTCTTTAACCCTCGATGCGTTGTGTGTTGCTCGCAGGGCTCCATCATTCTCTTCTACTCTGCGCGCATCTCCACGCTGAGAGGACACTTCGAGAAGGTGAGAAACACATTCCCGCGATGACACGTGGCCCCTCAAAGGGTCGGCGCGGCGCCTTAACGCGGCGGCGTGTTTCAGGCGCGGGCGCGTTACGAGGAGTGCGTCGGCAGCCAGCAGGAGTGGAGGCAGATCCACCACCTGTGCTACTGGGAGCTGATGTGGAACCACTCCTACCAGCAGGAGTGGCAACAGGCGTACCACTACGCCCACCTGCTGTGCCAGGAGAGCCGCTGGTCCAAGGTCAGCGCCGCCGCAACACCAGACTCAGAGTGCTGATCACTTCTGGTCTAACCCCCTCTGTGCCCTTTGACCCCTGCAGGCTATTTATGTGTACCAGAAGGGCGGCCATCCTCAGTATGATGTCAGAGGACGAGGTGAAGAGGACGGGGGAGAACCTGGTGGAGCTCTTTAGGTCAGAGAACATGAATAACAGTAGAAATTAGTAGATGTTTTTTGGAGGGAGGCTGTTTTGTGGTTCGGGGTCCGACACAAAGGCTTCATCTGCGGTGCAGGCAGGTGGAGGGGCTGAAGCAGCGCCTGGCGGGGAAGTCCATCCCGACGGAGAAGTTTGCGGTGAGGAAATCGAGGCGCTACAAAGCCGCCGTCCCCGTCCTCCTGGTCGTCCCCGCCCTGGTGAGACACATTCACGCACATTTAGGGCTCGTGCGTCCCCGACGTGGAGCTCACGGCCATCGGCTGTCGCTGAAGGCGCTCTGAAGACGTTGTCCCCCTCAGGAGATGATGTACGTCTGGAACGGTTTCTCCATCGTGGGGAAGAGAGCCGACAGCACCGAGGCGCTGCTGGTCACCATAGAGACGGCCGAGGAACAGCTTCGCAGCGACCCCAGTGAGTCCTGGTTTGTTGCTGATACTTTGTGAGGAGTCCCACCGGGTTCTGGGTTGTGACACTTTATCACTCCTACCGACTATCCTCTGCCTTTCAAAATAAAAGCCCTGCACACAGAAGGCACAGGTAGCGACTCGGTGGCGTGGTTTTCCTTTCCGGGGCCTTTTACCTCCAAACATTAAGAAAGACGAAGCGTTGCTGACGTGAGGTCGGTGTCTCGTTCAGGCCCGTCAGAGTTTCATCCAGACGACAGCTGCCTGGTCCAGATGTTGAAGGGACTCTGCCTGAAACACCTGGGCAGGTTGCTGCAGGCCGAGCTGTGCTTCACGCAGGTCCTGTCCAGGTAACGCCCACACAGACACACTGGGGGGGGGTCTTCTGAGGGCGTGAGGTAGGTGAGGAACCCTGTGTGTGTGTTTCAGTGAGACTCGTATCCGCTACGATCACTACCTGATTCCCTTCACGCTCTACGAGTTGGGTCTGCTGTACAAACTGCAGGGAGACTTCGCCAAGGCCGCCACCTGCATCGAAAACGCCAAGTAGGTCATCGCTTTGAGAGGTGATGTAGCCGGTGGACATACTGTCTCCATGTCTATGCAGCCTCGCCTTCATCAATGTGTTCCTCTTACCTGCGTGGACGCCTCTGCAGCGCAGAGCTGCTCCTGCTGGTCTGAGCCGTGAAATGTGATCTGAGACATCTGTGTGTCCTCAGGACGAACTACAAGGACTACTCCATGGAGAGCAGGCTGCACTTCCGCATCCACGCCGCCCTCAGCAGCCTCAGAGGATCCCCCGTGGGAACCCCGTAGTATGTGGACCACGGGACTCCCCGGGGCTCCGTGTCCACCAGGACTCGCTTGCAACCTCACGTGTCCTTTTATATTTATTTGTGTAATGTGTGTGGACGGACGAGATTATTTAAGCTCTTCTCAAACCTTCTGCAGTTCACTAGTTCACCAGTAGTGAGTGAAGAGACGCGAACACGTGAGCGAGGAACTCACTAGCAAACTGATGACGGCCTTAATCTGCTCACAATCCTGTAACAACAACGTGCTTTGTATAGAAAGTAGGGATAGAATCATAAATCCTGACAGATAGCTATATATATATATAATACATATATATATATAGCTATCTATCTATATATATAATGTATACAGTATATATATAGCTATATATTGTATATATGTATGTATATATCTAAATGCTACTCTTTCCTTAAACCTGAGAGCATATACACATACATATGCGTTGTATTGTCTTTACTATGTCTTCTTTAATTTCCTAACAATGCTTCATGTGCACGACGCACACAAACGTGCACTCAAAGTCTTCTCACCAACAGTGGCTTACACACACACACACACACACACACACACACACACACACAGCATTGTACACGTATTGGGCAGTATACACACTAACCAGAGACGCACGCGCGCACAACTAGCAGCGGTGAAAAGTAACAACACGCCTTTAGGCTCCTTCCTGTTAGCTGGTTGCAATCTGCAGCTTGGCCACTAGATGGCTCCAGATTCCACACAGACTCACACAGCAGTTTACTCTGTTAAACTACTGTTAATACCAATGTGTAAATGCTGTTGTGTTAAAGCTTTGAACACTTTTGTTTGCTCATGTTTTTGTTTTTTTGGCTCTCAGGGGGACAAACAGTCAAATCAAAGAAGCTTTGAAATGAGACACAGACGAGATTAACGTGGCGTTGAATCCATTTCCTTTTGAAGGCATTTGGATTGTTTCTGCTTTTTTAATCAGCAGTGTTCCATCATACCACGTAAATGATAAAGATTAGAATCATCAGTTCATTGAGTATCTATTTATGTACTTAAACATTTAAAAAGAAGCACAAATCCATAATCCGCAATCAGCAAAAACAAAAAGATACCTGTTATTTCCTCCTTTGGCTTTGAGTTGTTTAACGCTATTTAAATGATGTGTATAATATATGAACACCATGATTATTTAATACTTCTATGTAACTCCAAAGGTACCCGATGTTCTCCGTCTCATCTTTCCTCCAATATGAACTTTTATTCCATTCCAGTTTTATAAATATATAAATAAAGGATTGCAACAGGAATAAAAGAAGAAGAACAACTGTATCCACCTGAAGACCAAACTGTGTGCGTCTCGCTGTCTTTGCTTTGTATTTTTGTTCTTGTGCTTCTGTGGTCTGAACGTCAATAGGAGCTTTACCTAAAAGCCCAGCGGGGCTCATGTCAAACGTGGAAATAAGGCTTTTCCTTCTCGAACTCATTGAATAGTAAAGATGACGCAACAATGGATAAAGCCCCCGTCGGCTGGCTTGTGCTACAGGCGTGTAGCGTGTGAGGACATCGGGTCTGCTGGCGTGTTGTGTGCTACGATGTGAGCATCGTCAGTAACGCTCACAAACAGGTTCTACTAGACCCATCTGCTCCTGAAGAAATACTCTTAGTGAGAATAGGACGTCCACCAAGGACTGTCTTCAACAGGTAGAACCTGCCTGAGTGGGTTTAAGGTGAAACCCTGAAATGGTTCTTGGTAGAACGTCCTAGTGGGTTCTCATTAGCAGCCTTAGAAGGTACAAATAATAAAACCTCCTGAGAGGGATTTGGGGAAACCATTTGACAATTGAAGGATCCTCTGTAGAACGTCTCATTTCTGGGTGAGCCCTCTCACAGGTGGTTCTAGGTATGACCCCTTGGGTTGGGGTTCTAGGTAGAACCTTCTGAAAGGGCTCCTGGTGGAACATTTATGAAGGTTTCTAGCAAAATTCTCCAATGAGGTCAAGCAGAAGAAGCCTTTGTGGTTCTAGTTAGAGGATTTTCACAACAATATTCAACGCTATTCATTCCAGAGCCCTTTGGAGACTTCAAACGAGTTTATTCTAATGTGTTTACATTGAATTATATTGTTACTGTCACAATGAATAATCCGACACTCTAAAGCGCTCGCACACGTTTCACCGTATATTGATGCATGTTATTCAGTATAAGGACGTTACTGTATGTGCTTCACAGCAGGAAGCACGATGACCAAATATATTCAGTTCAAGATGAGGATCCACGTGGTGCAATAAAATAAAAAATGGAAGACTAATTGTTTTTTGAATGAAATGATCTTTTATGAAAGCACAGCTGAATGGGGTTTTAACATTTTAACTCATTGTCGCGGTCTGGGTTTGTTTCCTGTTTTATTTTGTAGTTTTCTGCCTCTTGTGCCCCTGGTAACCTCACTTCCTGCCTTGTCGTGTCTTCCCCTGTGATTGTCTGATTGTTTCCACCTGTGTCCAATCACCTGGACCTCCCCAGTGTATTTAAGCTGTGTGTCTCTTGTCCCTTGTTGAATGTCGGATGTGGTGTTTGCATGTTTGTGTTTCGTTCCTGGTTCCCGTCTGCGTTTTTGCCCCTTGGCGTTTTTTCATTTCGAAATTTTGACCATTAAAGTCTGTTTGTTGTTTCCCAAAACTCTGCGTTTGAGTCCTGCCTTCCGCGCTTCGTGACGCTCGTGAATTAAACTTCTCCAGCCGACTACTTGTATCAAGACAATTTCTTCTGTGTTATTCTGTGTGTGTGTTTTTAAAGAGTAAAACAACAGTAGGTCCAAAAAAGATTTTTTTAAAAGAGTGAAAAAACAGGTAAAAAAATAAATCAGGTCAAAACACGATTCAGGCTGTACCTCATATTGATTATTCTTATTGACTGTGTGTGTGTGTGTGTGTGTGTGTGTGTGTAGCAGAGCGGTTGCCTCATGTTTGTACACACACACAAATCCAGAAGTCCGACTGTTTCACCTCCCTTTTACTGACACAGTGTTGAACATTAACTTATTTGCACTTGCATCCACTTACTTTGTGGCCTGCACAGAGAACGTCCCAGGAGACATTCTGAGTCTTGCCTGTCCAAGACCTGTCAAAATGTCCCCTGTAAATAATCAGATTGAGACCTCCACCTTCTGTACGGAGTCACTGCACCGCCCACATATTTGTTCTTATGATCTTCTCCTCCATGCACACAAACAACCCCCCCCTCATCCAGAAGCCCTGATACACACAGTGGCGTAATATACACAATCAGTCTGCCGAATCCATCCAGAGTGTTTGTGTCCACGTTGACCAGCCGAGCTAATGATTGATTGATGACATCATCGGTGGACGGGCGAGACATCACATCGCTCTCCGTTTTCATCTGCTGCTGTTCACTGGCCAAGAGGCAAAATCAGAGTCATTTATTCTTTCGTCCATCAGCGGCGACATTTTGTTCAGGAAAAGCAGATTTGGTTGTAAAGAGCTGAAGTGTGAAGGAAACCAGGTGGAGATGAGATCAGTTGGATTTGCTGTTTTCGTGGCGTTTCTCATGATCAATGGCTCTGAAACGGTGAGACGACGAATACTGATTTTGTGTGACTGATTAGTATTATGTAGTATTTCTAACTATATATTCCTGTGTATAATGCGCACGATGATGTATCATGTACAGCTGTACTCACAACAACTGCCACATCTCGGTGCATCGAGGTACATTATGTTAACTAAGCGTACGATAAAGGTCATTTAATGCTCACAGTAAGTTGTCCCATCACAAGTTACCCAAAGATAAAACAACTGCTGCATTCAGCAGGAACTCTTCATCTCACAGAGATGTAAATACGCGCATCATCTGCGTAGCACTTTAACTGCACGATGACCTGTTGATCTTTCTGTAACTCCTGCAAGCGGGATCCACCGGATCACAAGGATCCAACACCAAAGGAGCCAGTGAGGAACCCGGAGACATCTGAGACTACGAACCAAACCGCTCCGTCCACCAGCCCCGAAGCACCCGAGGAAGACGAGTTTCTGGGTCCACGCGAGTGTCTGATAAAGAAGTCAGTGTTCTTTTGATTGGATGCGCTTCTGCTTTTGGTTGTTGAGATGTTTGTACTTCCCTTTTTGCGTTTGTGCATTATTTATGATTGAGTCACACGTCTGCTGCAAAGCTACTTTACTCAGTTCCTACTTTGTGAGTTCCAAGTGCTACTTGGAAGGTTCTTCACAAAGGAAGCAAAGCAAAACCAACCTGACATTAAAGAGAACAGACAGCGAGTTCCTCAGCTCACTGTGGGACGAATCTCTCCCAACAAAACACCAGGCTCACTCGGGGGTCGTGTGACCTGGTGTTTTGTCCTCCGTGGGAGCGGTGCATTGAAGGACATTGCTCCTGTAAACCACCATACCTTTGTCCGTCGGAGGGGGCTCGACCGGTCTGCGGGCTGGACCACCGAACGTACCGCTCCTACTGCCAGGTAACCAGACTCATTGCCCTCAATGACCTGGCTGATTTCAGTAGGCCGACCTGTTCACGCTCGCGCCGCTGGTCTGTCTTCCAGGTGATGGCTGTGTCCTGTCAAACAAAGAGATCCAGAATGTCCCACTTTGGGGAGAATTGCAAAGGTTCGCTCCCACTGACGCACCCAGAGCTCCACAGTATGTTGGACACGACACCCCCACTTATGGTCCATGTGTGTCTCCATCCCTCCGTCCCCACAGAGGATCAGCCCAAGTTCAACAGCACCATACTCTCCGACACGGCAGCTGTGAAGATCTTCCTCCCCGACGCCAGGAGCCCTGGAGGCGGGGAGGAGCTGCTGGTGTGCCAACGCCTTTGGAACATCGCAGCTGCTAACGTGGCGTGCAAGGCCGGGGGGACTCCACTGTGAGCGGGCAGCGCAGGGCAGGAACACGCGCTCCACGACCTCCGACCTCCCGGTGACCTTCTGTGTCTGCTTGCAGCGGCGCGCTGGCGGCCGACTCCACGTCCTACGGCTCCCTGACGACCGCCGGCGGCAACACAGAGTCACCCAAGCGCTGCGTCAGCCTCCGCTGCCAGGGCTACGAGGCGTCCCTCGCCGAGTGCGTCATCTACGACAAGGTGGACATCGGCAATCAGGAGGTCGCCACGGCAACCTGTTATCAGGCCCCCGAAGCCGCCAACGGTCAGCTTCTTCACTCATTCTCCTCCATCCTTCACTGTGTGCAAAGCAAAGGTCCACACTAACTAACAAGATGAGATGTGAGTAATCAATGCGATCATTAGCCCCGTTTGACATTTCTTTATATTAATTTCAAACTTTTCAAAATTGAAAATGAAAAACATTTTTTTTATTTATTGTAAATGACCTCTCGCGGCTCAAAGTTCCAACGAGCCAGACGTCCTCCCCGAAGCTCCGCCGCCGTGATGATGTCATTATCTAAAGTACAGCGCGCTCCATGTGACGTCGTCGGGGCCTCGGCCGGCGGCCCGAATATCTCTGACTTGTTTAAACTTTTCCAGCATTAAGAATTCTTTGTTGCCTCAGAGTGCGGCTTCACGTGCGCCAACACAAAGTGCGTCTCCGCGAACCGGACCTGCGACGGAGTCGACGACTGCGGCGACGGCAGCGACGAGATGTGCTGCAAAAGTAAAGAGACCAACCGAGAGGGCGATTTGGTGACGCCGCGTGTCGTCTTTCGTGACCTCACCTGTGTGTGTGGCGTTGGCAGAGTGCAGGGGCGGCGGCTTCCGCTGTAAGACGGGCGCGTGCGTCCATCGGGAGGCGCTCGGCGACGAGCAGATCGACTGTCTGGACGGCGAGGACGAAGCAACGAAACACGCCGCCATCGGTGAGCGTCACCTTCTGGGATCCGTTTGACCCCAAAAGAAAAACTGAGACCTTTCATGACGTAACTGATTATTGTCCTTATTGACCTATTGACCTTGAACCCGCGTGTGTTCGGTCATCCGAGTGCTTTTAGTGATCGTACGATGTTCACATTCTCCACAGAGCCAACGAAGCTGCTGCCCACTAACTCAGGTAAAGTTCACCTGTGACGGAGGCAAACTCTTGTTTGTGTTGTTGTTATTGTGTTTATCGTTTATTTGTTTCTGTTTTCTTGTTTTCTTTCAGAGTACACTTCCCCCAAAGACGGTATGTGGCACAAACGTTGTATTCTTTTTCATTTGTTTGGCTTCTCTGCACCGACTCGTGATCTTGTGTTTGGTGGTGGAGGCTGATTAATGAACACGTGCTGCCAGCTGTGGCTCAGGGGCCTGTGGGGCCTGTGGGGGCCTATGGGGGGGCTGTGGGGCCTGTGGGGGGCTGGGGGGGCTGTGGGGGCCTGTGGGGGCCTATGGGGGGGGCTGTGGGGGGCTGTGGGGGGCCTGTGAGGGCTCCTGTGGGGGCCTATCGGGCCTGTGGGGGGCTGTGGGGGCCTGTGGGGCCTATGGGAGCTGTGGGGGGCCTGTGAGGGCCTGTGGGGGGGCTGTGGGGGTCAAACCTTCAGGTCCCCGAGTCGCCTTTCCCCAACTAGAAGAGAAGTGGCCCTGACCTCACGGAGCCCCACGTGAACCTCCCCCCTTGATGCACGTGTGTCCAGAAACGAGGGCCGGTCGGGCGCATCTGGAGTCCAGGTTGTACTGCGGGATCCCCAACGCCACCACGGTGGACAACGTGGAGGTCGAGGGCCGCGCGAACAGGGGCCGCGTCAAGCGAGTGGTGGGCGGCGTCCCGGCGAACCCGGTCAGTCAGCGACGCCCTCGTTCCGTCATCCGTTGACGCTCGTCTCGTGTGATGTTACCTCTGCGTCATTACCCAGCAGCCCCTCTGATCCAAAGGGACGCGTGACGTAGTTCTGATCCGTAAGGTGTTTGACGCAGACTCAGATCCAGTGGCAGGTCGCTGTGGTGGAGAACAAGAAGGTGGACTGCGGCGGCGCCTACATCGGAGGATGCTGGGTAATCACGGCGGCTCACTGCGTCAGGTGGGATCGCTCATCGAGTAAATGATGGGGCAGTAGAATCAGTACTCGCAGAGGTCTGTGTGTACATGTACTACTCCTCAGAGGTAACCATTGTACTTCTACACCTCGGAGGTAAATATTGTACCAACTCGGAGGGTAAACGTCCCAAATCGGGTGTTGCTGCATTTCACAAAAGCAAAATGTTGTATCTCAGAAAAACACGGCAGTACTGAAAGTACTAGTGGCGTTGTACTAGTACTCTCTTGTCTCTCAGGCCGAACCCGTCTGCGTTCATGGTGAAGTTTTCCCTCTGGAGGAAGATTCAAGCTCAGAGCACGACTGACATCGTTCCTGTCCAAGAGATTCTCATCCACCCAAAGTATTTACCCAGAGTCACGTGACTTAATCCAACGTGGAACGGGAGAAATCATTCGTTGTACAACCGCAGGTACGGTGCCAACTACGAGAACGACATCGCTCTGCTGAAGCTGAAGAAGCTTCCCTTCGAGGAGAAATGCCTGAAGGACAACCCGGCCATCAGCGCCGTCTGCGTCCCCTGGTCCACGCAGCTCTTCCAGCCCAACCACACCTGCAGCATCTCCGGGTGGGGTCGGACCGCAGGTGCGTTCCTCCACCGGCCGCAGGTCTAGCGTTGGCGTGAAGGGAGGAGGACGCAGGACAATCCGATACTTTCCACACAGAAGAATTGAAGCGTAGCTTAGAAAATAATGTAAATATGTAAAATGATCATTCTAGATTAACTCGGCTGTATTTGAATATTCATGTATTCATATCAACATGTTCATGCGGTGAGATGGAACCCGTTGAACAACGAGCTCTTGACCTCCGTTGTGTCCCCTGTGAGCTGGAGAGGGTCACGGTCCGTGTTTAGATGTGCATGACCTCGTCCACAGAGGGCAAAGGGGCCAAAGTGCTGCTGTGGGCCAACGTTTCCCTCATCGCCGACTGCCAGAGATTCTACAACGATCGCTTCCGGCCCGGCATGATGTGCGCGGGCGCCGTGGAGGGCGGCGTGGACTCCTGTCAGGGCGACAGCGGCGGCCCGCTGGTCTGCGAGGACGAGCTGGGAGTTTCCTACCTGTGGGGCATCGTCAGCTGGGGGAGGAAGTGTGCTGAGCCGGGATTCCCCGGAGTCTACACACAGGTACACACATGATACATACATGTGTCATACTAACACAGGACATGTGCTTGTTACTACGCTCTTTCACCATGAACATCACTACTTCTCTGTAGTGACCAGCAGGGGGCGACTCCTCTGCTCCCATAGACGTCTATGAGGAAATGACTCTACTTCTCTGTAGTGACCAGCAGGGGGCGACTCCTCTGCTCCCATAGACGTCTATGAGGAAATGACTCTACTTCTCTGTAGTGACCAGCAGGGGGCGACTCCTCTGCTCCCATAGACGTCTATGAGGAAATGACTCTACTTCTCTGTAGTGACCAACAGGGGGCGACTCCTCTGCTCCCATAGACGTCTATGAGGAAATGACTCTACTTCTCTGTAGTGACCAGCAGGGGGCGACTCCTCTGCTCCCATAGACGTCTATGAGGAAATGACTCTACTTCTCTGTAGTGACCAGCAGGGGGCGACTCCTCTGCTCCCATAGACGTCTATGAGGAAATGACTCTACTTCTCTGTAGTGACCAGCAGGGGGCGACTCCTCTGCTCCCATAGACGTCTATGAGGAAATGACTCTACTTCTCTGTAGTGACCAGCAGGGGGCGACTCCTCTGCTCCCATAGACGTCTATGAGGAAATGACTCTACTTCTCTGTAGTGACCAGCAGGGGGCGACTCCTCTGCTCCCATAGACGTCTATGAGGAAATGACTCTACTTCTCTGTAGTGACCAGCAGGGGGCGACTCCTCTGCTCCCATAGACGTCTATGAGGAAATGACTCTACTTCTCTGTTGATTTATTCCCTCAGTAAACATTGTAAACATGAGTTTATCTCAGGTCTCAGTCTCTAGTTTCAAGTCTTCTTCAACACAACATGATGCTCATTTAGTGATTTAAATGTAACTTAATGATATTTACATGTATTAATATAACTCTCACCTCTGGCAGGTGGCTCATTACTTTGAGTGGATCCGTTACCACACAGGGTGGCCCGCCGTCACCAAGTTCAACTCCTGATGAGGCAACAATGTAAAAAAGAAAGAGCAATGTGGCTTTGGATCAAAGCGTCGGCTGAATAACCTGTGATGTGATGTAACGTGGATGTTGTACCGTTGTGTTTGCTGTAACATCGTTCTTGTATTAAGCCACTAAGTTGTTCTCAGCTGCCCTGCAGACCAACAGCTGACTGTGGCTGATTCAACATGAGTGACAATTAATACAAACAGCTGTTGGTAGATTAGTGGATAAATGTCAAAGCATCACAATAAAGACCCCTTTGTCCAATAGAAAGACTTCTACTGTCTCTATGACGCACACGTGTGACATTAGTTTAGTGACGGGGAAGAGGACGGCAGAGCGAGTTTGACCTAGAAATGCATCTCATGAAATACAAGAGAGTGAAACGACGCCTTAAATCCTTTACATTTAATAAAAAGAGAAAAAAGAATCTTTCCAAAACAAAACGGATAAAAGTGTCATTCAATGTTGCAGAAAGGACAAAGTGGCGGTTCAGGTGTCTCTGGGGGGTCGAGGCCGACCCGCCTGCAGCCGGATGGAGCTCCTCAAACCGCTGAGCTCTGCGTCCAGCTGCAACCACACGGTGTCACACATTCAGAGGTCTGATGGTCTACTGACAAGTTACTGTGCCAGCATGTCCTGTGTGTGTGTCTGTGTGTGTGAGTGTGTGTGTGTGTGTGTGTCCATCACCTTCGCTAGCTCCTCTTTGAGCTCGTTGTATTTTTGAGTGTCGAACTTCTGTCTTGATGCTTTTTCATGGAAGAAATGGAGGAACTGACGATCCCGCGCATTTGGATAAATTAAATCCTGCAACACACACACACACACACACACACACACACAGCAATATATAATCAGAAAATGCAGCATTGACTCATGTGTCGTCATGACGACCCTCAGTCACATAAAACACTCCTGTAGAACTTTGACAAAATGAAGAGTTGATGGGTTCTCTTAGCGTGCTGCGACCTTTTGGGGGACAGAGGACAAAGAGGGGACCTTTGACTGCGTGGGACAGAGGACAAAGAGGGGACCTTTGACTGCGTGGGGACAGAGGACAAAGAGGGGACCTTTGACTGCGTGGGACAGAGGACAAAGAGGGGACCTTTGACTGCGTGGGACAGTGGACAAAGAGGGGACCTTTGACTGCGTGGGGACAGTGGACAAAGAGGGGACCTTTGACTGCGTGGGACAGAGGACAAAGAGGGGACCTTTGACTGCGTGGGGACAGAGGACAAAGAGGGGACCTTTGACTGCGTGGGACAGAGGACAAAGAGGGGACCTTTGACTGCGTGGGACAGTGGACAAAGAGGGGACCTTTGACTGCGTGGGGACAGTGGACAAAGAGGGGACCTTTGACTGCGTGAGACAGAGACAAAGAAGGGACCTTTGACTGCGTGGGACAGAGGACAAAGAGGGGACCTCTCTGGGTTCCCACCTGTTTGGTGAGGACGTAGTAGGCGAAGAAGAACATGCTGGTGGTGCAGCTGATGAAGAAGGTGACCGGTTCCATGACGTCCCACGCAAACACGTACCTGTCCACACACACACACACACACACACACACACTTAGAGAGGACACCTGGGTGTGATGTCGTCTGTGGTTCGTGTGCTTGTCCATTACCAGGTGAGGTAACCCAGGAAGCCTCCCTGCAGGGACAGGTACGAAAGCCCCGCCCAGCCCAGTAGTGATGCTCTATGCTCCGCCTCCTGCGCCATCTTCTCTCGCGCCTATGAGTAGAGAGGCGTTATGAAGGCAGAGCAGGTCGACTCGTGTGTTGACCGGCGGTCGTACCGTCTCGAGCGGCTGCAGCTGCTCTCTGAGCGTCTCTTGTCTCAGCAGCAGCTCGGCGTGTTTGACGCGCTGCTGCTGAGGACGAGTCACGGCCGAGTGGAGCAGGCGGACCACGTACTTCATGTCCTCCAGGCCCAGCACGCGCTCGTGAGACAGACCTGGCGGGCATCAATATATTCTCCTGAAAGATTCCTCAGAGAAACCAGGGGCTTGCGCGCGTTCATGCTAAGCTAGGCTAACGTCGCTCATACGCACCTTGTCCCAGCGAGTGAACGCTGTGCGCGAAGCCGTTGATGAGCAGCTGGAAATCTTCACTTAGAACCGTTTCCATGAAGGTGCATGAAGATATTCTCTGTCCAGCTGAAGAAAAGGGATTGCAAAAAAATAAACATCAACAAACAGTAATAAACATTTTGGTAGAAATTATATTTTTATTTTAAGTTTTTGGGGATTTCTTAAAAAAAAATTCAAAAAAGAATTGATTACTTTAATTTATTTTTGTGACAAACACAAGTTCATACCTTCGCTTATTTTATTTTATTCTTTATTTTATTTATTATTATTTTTTTTTTTTTATTGTCATATTTTTTTTTTCTCTTTTTGGGGAAAAATAATTCTTGAAATGACAACATTTCGGAAAAACTGTATTTTGGAAAGTGAGACTTTCTATTTTTACAAATATAGCGTGAACATATTTTGGGGACGTGGGAGGGGTTTTGCAAAGCGAGGACGTTGGACAGTAGCGATCTACTCGGGCAGACGACCCGGTGGGGTCCGGGTGCAGCTTTGGGTCGTACCTCCGTTGAGCAGGGCGGCGCTGTGCACCGTCGGGTCCTTGGCGCTGATCTCAGCCAGCAGGTCGCCGACTGTGGTCAACATGGGCGTCAGCGTGAAACGACTCTGCTCGCCGGCAGGAAGCCGCACAGAGAGGACGGGGCGGCCCAGGCTGTAACGGACAAAAGCACCTGAAAGAGGAGGGAGGGGGGGGAGGGAGGAGGAGGAGGGACATCGGTGATTTTTTGTTCATTTGTCTGACCTCATCTTTCGATCTTTTCCTTGTTTTCCTTGTTTGTGTGAAAGTTCATGTGTTTTATTTCAATCATCACGTCTCCTTCCAACATCCCTTCGTTCCTTCGTAGGATTTTCCCACCACTTTTGAACGTTGCCCCGCCCCCCGCTCAGTCTCACCTGTCACCTGGTCTCCTCCCCCTCCGGTCGGACCCCGTTAATCCGGCCCGGTTCCGTCCCCTTACCCACCTGCCGTCTGGACTCTGGTCCCATAAGCCTCTTCATTTGTATTATTGGGTCCACATTGATGGTCCTTCATTTTAATTTACAAATGAATACAGTTAAATACTTTATGACCCAAAGTGCCCGTCAGCTCCAGCTGTTCTTTAGGTTTACGCTAGCGAGTGTTAGCATGCTGCGGTGGCGTATATTAGCATGCGTGTGTTTCGTTTGCAGGTACGGTTCTCGTCTAGAGGAGGAGCTTCACAGTGTTTAAGTACCTGCAGGACCTTTGGATCTGGGCTGCGTGCTCAGCCTGGAACCCACAGAACCCGACCACGGCGGAGCAGAACACAGCGGCCCGCTCTGGGAGAGGAACAGACGTTCATTCCACCAGAACCAGAGCCAACGCCCTTCTGTCCCAGAGACCTGCCATTGACTTGCATTCTGCACCTGGAGACTTGTTCCAACAAACGTGTCCCTTAATCTGACGGTTTGTCCCCACCAGCAGAAGCAGTACTATTAGCAGTATAACTCTACTAGCAGTACTTTTACTGGTAGAACTTGTACTGTAGTATAGAGTACTGCACAGGAGCATTCTATTAGTAGTAAAAGTACACAGTCAGCAGTACTTCCTGACACGGTTGTATGAATTGGTTGAATGTTTTTATTCTTTTACTGTTGATTGATTGACACATTAACAGAACTTTGAAGCGACTAAAGGAGCCGAGGGTTAAAATGTCTCCAGCCTCTGAAACGCAGCAGATGTTGAAACAAGTTGAACTCACGGTGAGGATCCGGAGTCTCGCAGGTCTACAGAGACTGACCCTGCAGAGGAGGCCGGAGACCAGCATGGTGGGGACCGACCCAGATCCAGAAGATCCAAAAGATCCAGAAGATCCAAAAGATCCAGACGATCCAGAAGCTTCTTTTCAGAGGCGGAGCAAAAGCCCACGACGCCTCGGGGCAGAACGTCTGAGAGGAAACAGGTTTTCGTGGAGGAGGGGAAGTTAACCCTCCGCTGGCTCACGGATCACACTTCAGCTCAGCGGCAGGAAGTCCTGCTCATCAACAAGTCAGAACGGTTCAAAGACAAAGAAAAGATGTGGAACCCAACCAGCGACGTCCTTTTCTATTCTTCTTGGAAATAAAATGCTTCCAACGTCATTTGACAGCAGAAATAAGACAATGAACCTTTTACCTCACGTTCCTCTCATGGAGCTTCAACTCACGTTTTGCTTCTGTGCTAAATAGAATCTGTTACGCCCTGAGACGTTCACAAAGGGGCGTGGCCAAAGAAGGCGTCGCTATGATGTCACCATCACCACCCTCTGAGGAACCAAGAGGAGAGGGCGTGGCTAAAGAAGATGAGATAGATATATGATAGATAGATATATGATAGATAGATAGAAATATGATAGATAGATAGATATATGATAGATAGATAGATAGATGGATAGATAGATACATATATGATAGATAGATAGATATATGATAGATAGATAGATAGATATATGATAGATAGATTGATAGATATATGATAGATAGATAGATATATGATAGATAGATAGATATATGATAGATAGATAGATAGATATATGATAGATAGATAGATAGATAGATATATGATAGATAGATAGATATATGATAGATAGATTGATAGATATATGATAGATAGATAGATATATGATAGATAGATAGATAGATAGATAGATATATGATAGATAGATAGATAGATAGATAGATATATGATAGATAGATAGATATATGATAGATAGATATATGATAGATAGATATATGATAGATAGATAGATTAAGACTTTGTTTTACTCATTTTTACCACTAAAGTGTGCCAATAATTCTGGATCCAACAACCAAATATTATTTCCCACATCTGAAGAAAAAACAACAACACACTGCTAACAAGCGCTGATTTGTTTACGCGTCATAATTTAAAGAAAACAAATGATGTCCTTGTACCATATACGGTCCTGTTGTACTGTAGGTATTATATAGTAAATGCAGACACAGAGCTTTTATTTCTATACGTTTTCTTTGCCTCAGAGTATGTTTACACTGTAGTATGTTTGTAGTATTAGTACTTTCACTGAAGTATGTCGGTTAACAACCTCACGACGTCAGCGGTTCAGTCCGTGCAGGGATCAACCACAAAGACTCGGAGTCCCAGCATGCATTGCTCCGCGTGTCGCCGCCCCTTGGCTGCAGCTCAGCATGTGACCGCGGGGGGGCGCTGTCACCCTGTTTAAGTCTCAGCTTCTCTTCATCTGAACTCACTTTGTGATCATTTAAACTCCGAGTGAACTTTTCATTTCAGACTTTTAGTTTCTTTCCGTTTTAAATGTTCATCAGGGAACCAAGAAGAACAGAAGGCAATGAGCTCATTACCCACAATGCCTCTCTGTGACGTCCATGATTCATGTTGATGCATTTAAACAGTTACAATACTTTAATGTCATTGTATTTATACTTCCAACATGTAACACATACTGCTGTCAAGATACACTTAAATACTGTTCTTCATAGTGTACTATCTCAGAGGTACATAATACTTTATATAGTTTATTTTGGAGAGTTTCATACGCACACTATTGTATTTGCTGTTGTTAAATACTAGAACAAAAAGAAAGAAGTATAATGTTTCCTCCTGCTGTGAATTGATACACAGTAATAAATGATGTACTCTGCTGCATTAGTTACAATATGTGAGTATAATGTGTTTTTGTACTGCTCATCTCTCCTGTTTTCTTTAGGTGGTAGTTTAAATACTCCTAAAGTTGTATACTGGTGGTGTATCTTCTCTTCCTCTCTGCGTGTATCGATGGCTGCAGGTGGGGGCGCGGGGGGCGCGGGGGGGGGGTATCGATGGCGCGCGGGTTGGACCCGGTGCGCGCGCAGCAGAAGCAGGGCAGCCTATAAAGCGGACCGAGGTCCGGTGTCCAGCTCACCTGTGATCCCCGACGCCTCACGAGCGGCGCGTTTCTCTTCTCCTGCGCACCTGAGAGTCACCGGAAGTAGCGGAAACACCGCGGGCCGCGTGCACCGGGGAGAGGGGAGCCGGGTCCGATCCGGACTCACCTGCAACCAGGACTAAAGGTGAACCATTTATTTTGTAACCTTTTCTGTACAAATCAGTGTCTGCAGCCCTTCAAAATAAAAGCGTCCGAGACTTGAGAATCACAGAACAGGTTCGTGATGTTTGTCTGATCGTGTGTTCAGATGTTCTCCAGACTAACGTCTCAATGTGTCTTCAGTGACACGAAGCACGTTTATGTGAAGTACGTTGAGCTGTAAATGAGACGTTCTTTCATTGTAAAAGTCTATAACTACTTAAGAGCGATGCTCTGCCAGTTTCCGGTGTACTTATACCTCGTTTCCCTCCAGCGGTCATGACTCGTCACCTGGTGCTGATGGTGCATCTCGTGCTCGTGCTGGCGGCGTGCTCCCGCGGCGCGGCGGCGCGCGTCCGACTCAACTCCATCCGAACGGTGATCCTGAGGGAGGCGCACGCGATGCCGGTGAACAGGAGCGCGTGGGAGCCGAGCGTGGACCTCACGGTGAGTGCGCGTGACGTGCTGCGTGACGTCATGTGTGACGTCAGAACCGCCCTGACTCTCGCTCACTCTCTCGCCTGCAGTTCCATCAGTGCATGAGCGACCTGGAGTGTATAGAGGGGAGCTACTGCCACGCCCCCTCCCAAGGCCCCGCCCACCCGCGCTGTCACACCTGCCGCAGGAGGAAGAGGCGTTGCCATAGGGACGGGATGTGTTGCCCGGGCAACCGCTGCAGCAACAGTAAGAGTTACTTTCACTGTCGTTTATAGTTTATTCTGTTTGAATGGTGAATAAATCAGCTTAAATATAAATATATAATATATAGTTATAGTATATATTTTAAATATATTTACAAATACCATAAATACAGAGAACACAAATTAATAATTCAGCTTGAATAGATAGATAACGATACTGTTTCATTCTAAATCATGACTTGAATTGAAAAACAATCTTCTTTAAAATTGGAGTATTGGATATAATATGTGTATGAATGATCCTCCAGATGTGTGTGTCCCCGACGAGGACGCCTTCGTGTCCCAGAGGATCCCGGACCCAGAAGCAGGGACGAGTCCTCTGTCCAAGAGGAGAGGCTGGAGGACTCGAGGGGGGGCGGAGCCTAAGGAGGCCTCCAGTAAAGGTAACTCAATAAACTTTATTATTCATCAGAGTTCATCTCTTCTTTTAGAACAACAGGGTCTCCAGTGTGAACATGTGATTGTCTGAATGACTTTAGTTTTTAAAGCTTAAGCAACAACATGTTAGAATGTTATATTAAAAAAAAGTGGAATTTATTTTCTAAAACAATAGATTCTAAGACCATCGTTGGACCGATAGAGGAGCTTCCATCTTTCTGCTTCTATCCAGGATCCAATGATTGTGAGTGTCGTTGCATCCTGAGACTGAATGTGTCCCCGTGTCCCCGTCTCTCAGGTCAGGTGGGCGACCCGTGCCTCCGCTCGCCGGACTGCTCGCCCGGTTTGTGCTGCGCTCGTCACTTCTGGACCCGCATCTGCAAAAGCGTGCTGCAGGAGGGACAGGTTTGCACGCGGCGCCGGCGGAACAGCCGCGGCCTGGAGCTCTTCCAGCGCTGCCCCTGTGGCGCCGGACTCAGCTGCCGAGCGCTGAGGGGACGCAACGCCAGGTCCTCGCCGTCCTCGTCGCTGATGGCCGCGGCCAAGTCCAAGTTCACGGCGTCCTTTTCACGTCACGCCGCGCCGCTCTCCTCGCCAGCGGAGAAGCCGACGCCCTCGAAGGCGAGACTTCACATGTGCCAGAAGAACTGAGCGGGCGAGAGGAGTGGGGGGGGGGGGACTCTGTGAGAAACCAAACCTGTTCACACCTGTGAGAAGCCCCGCCCCCTCTGGAACCATGTCAATGCTAATGAGCTTTCTGTGGGGCGTGAAACCCTTTGTGGTTGTCTGGTTTCCTCTCGGTGGGGGGGGGGGGGGGGGGACCAACAGGAACCGCTTTGAAGTCCGGTTTGAGACCAACACAAAGTCTGAATCCACAGAATCTCAATGTTATTATTTATTCAGATTTTCAAAATAAAAGACATGTCTGCAAAACCCCCAAACTGCCGTCAGAAGCAACAATTTCTCCTTGTTTTCTTTATTTAGATGTGAGTGTTACCATTTAAGATAAAATCAGAGTTTGTCATGCAAACTGTAACAGAGGAAACAGCGGAGTCACTTCCTCCGGTTCCACTTTAAATGTACTTCTTCATATGAAGCTCCTCTTCTTCTTCTTCTCCTTCTTCTTCTTCTTCTTCTTCTTCTTCTTCTTCTTCTTCTTCTTCTCCTCCTCCTGCCGACCGGCCGTCAGCAGAAACTCGTCTCAAATTGTCCACTTGTTAAAAGTTATTCCTCTTAAAGTTGCTCCCTGCATATTTTGTGTGTTTTTTTTAATTCCACCTCTTAAAGAAGGAAACTTGTTGAATCACTAATCTGCATTTTAATGATTAAAAACATCCGTCATGTGGAACATGTTTGCGTTCCTGTGTTTTTGTAACAAGTAATGTTATTATTATTAGTAGTAGTATTAGTAGTATTTTTAAACAGACTGAGTGTGACCTCATGATTGGAGGACTTTAGCTGTGAGGCTGCGAGATGCTAAGCTAACGAGGCTATATCCCGATACGATGGTTGGAGGTTGATGTTTGAGGGATTCATTCTCCATCTGTAGACAAAACAGGTAAAAGAACATTTCAACAACAAAAAATCCTGAAAATCCATAAAATCATCTTATTTATGATTAATAAATACTTCACAACATGCACACTCTTACACACACACACGCACACACACACACACAGACTCTTACACACACACACACACGCACACACACACACACAGACTCTTACACACACACACACTCTTACACACACACACACACGCACGCACACGCACACACACAGACTCTTACACACACACACACTCTTACACACACACACGCACACGCACGCACGCACACACACACACTCTTACACACACACACACACACACTCTTACACACACACAGACTCTTACACACACACACACACACTGAAGGGATGTTTGTCGGTTTTACTGCCTGATAAAGGTGAGGGACAGATGGGAAGGAGGGTTATTGTTTAACCAGGAACACACACACACACAGACTCTTACACACACACACACACACACACACTGCCGTACTGATCAGTCCAGGAAGTGTGACGGTGTTTTCCTGCAGGTGAACTAAAGCAGGTGAGGCACTTTTAAACCTGTTTAAACCGTCTGATGAGCTTTATTATTCGTAGTTATTCATTATGATGAAGATGGTTTCACGTTGGTTTTATGGGTTCTATGTTCATCGTTAACCACGATCACTTTGATACCACCTCCAGAGCCTTGATGTCCTTCTGCACTCTCATTGGTGTTCAGATCTCCTGCACACGAGACAATCATTCAATATGCTGTACAAAGTACAGGTTTCATCATACTACATGTAAATACATCCCTGTAGAAGTACTACTGTAGTAGAAAGAATAGTACACACAGTGGAATCACACTGGGAAGCACAAGGTTGGTGGTTCGACCCCCGGCTGCCCTATGTCCCACGTCGAAGTGTCCCTGAGCAAGACACCAGACCCATAGTTGCTCCCCGGGCAAAACATGTAGAAGCCATGAAATAAAAATGCAATGTAAGTCGCTTTGGATAAAAGTGTAATGTAAACTGTGCCGTTCCTCACATGGGATGGAAACGGTTTTGATTACCACACATCTTCATTTTCATCAACCCGGACTTGTGCAACCGGCCAACGGACTTTAGCCAAACCGCTTGCTTCATCCAGGCGTGACGCTGGTCTGCGTGCCTCATCCAGGCCTGGAGACGGGTTGCTTGTTTGGTGAGGACACCTGTCGTACACCTTCACCTCCATGAGGAGAAGAGCTCCTCAGTCGGGTTGAGGAAAGGAGCGCATGGGGGCAAATACAGGCTGGTAGATGCTTGTGCATAAAAACATGCACCGTTTGAGATGGTGGAAGCTGACGTTGTCCCACACGATGACATCATCACACCGTCGGCTCTACAGACCTGGTCCAGCTCATCGGGGACGAGAGCTGCATCACGTGAGCCAACGGGGCCCTGCGCCCGACCACACGTCCTGCTGTCTTGGCAGAACTGGTCAAGTAATCACCAGGGCTGCAGCGTGGTGTGAAAGGTGGTCCCATTATTTTGAAACCTCACGATCTAAACGATATTGTTGGTCAGTTTCCACAGAACGATCCACTGAGGCTCACGCAGCAAGTACTTATTGTTCAGAGGTGTTGTATCTCTTGATAGTTCATTGTAATGAAATGAATGGACGATCATTTCGACTGTAACGTAGGATTTGCATTTTGAAATAGTACTTTGATGTTACATTGAGTCGTATTGAACAAGTGAAAAATGGCATCACGGTTCTGAAATTAGCAGCAAAGTGATTATAAAAAACTGCAATGAAACACACAATTCTATCATTAGAGAAATGCTTTAACAGGGGAAGAAATAAAATACTTAACTTATCAGAGTGAAACATTTTTGTTTGTATTAAAAATAGATTACGTTTATTTATACACTTATATATATGTACACACATATATATATATATATATTTTGATGCAGTTTTTTACAAAAAATAAAAACATCTTTTTGTTATTTTGAAACTCAGCTTCCTGTCATGGATCTCGGTCGCCATGGAGACGACCACTCCGTCGAGGGCGAGCGGAGCGTTCTTGCGCTGAACGTGTTGTTGCTCGGAGACAAGCAGAGTGGGAGGAGCTCCGTGGGGAACGCTCTGATTGGTAGGTGGCTTCTACGTTAAATTGACACATAGTGACCAGCAGGGGGCGACTCCTCTGCTCCCATAGACGTCTATGAGGAAACGACTCTACTTCTCTGTAGTGACCAGCAGGGGGCGACTCCTCTGCTCCCATAGACGTCTATGAGGAAATGACTCTACTTCTCTGTAGTGACCAGCAGGGGGCGACTCCTCTGCTCCCATAGACGTCTATGAGGAAATGACTCTACTTCTCTGTAGTGACCAGCAGGGGGCGACTCCTCTGCTCCCATAGACGTCTATGAGGAAATGACTCTACTTCTCTGTAGTGACCAGCAGGGGGCGACTCCTCTGCTCCCATAGACGTCTATGAGGAAATGACTCTACTTCTCTGTAGTGACCAGCAGGGGGCGACTCCTCTGCTCCCATAGACGTCTATGAGGAAATGACTCTACTTCTCTGTAGTGACCAGCAGGGGGCGACTCCTCTGCTCCCATAGACGTCTATGAGGAAATTACTCTACTTCTCTGTACTGTTTCTTCCGGAAGGTGTCGACGGATTCCAAACAGGCATCTGCGTTTCCGGCGTTGCCGTCACGACAGAATCCCGGCTGCTCAGCAGAAACTTTCAGAGTTTTTTCAGGAGAAAAGGGGTGGAGTCAGACCTCACGCTGAGAGTGGTCGACACGCCTCCTCGGTTGCCCCGCCCACAAAGTGTGCTTGAGCTGTGTCCCGACGGCGTGCACGTGCTCGTGATTGTCGTGAGGGCCGACCTGCTGCAGGACGACACACACCTTGAGGAGCACGTGGAGGTACACACACTCCCACACACTCACACAGACTCACACAGACACACACACACACACACACTCCCACACACTCACACACTCACACAGACTCACACAGACACACACACACACACACACTCCCACACACTCACACACACTCACACAGACACACACTCACACACACTCACTCTGCAACACACATATTGCGTGTGTCTGTGTGTAGACTCTCTTTGGTCCAGACTGGCGTCGCCACGCCTTACTGGTCTTCACGCACGCCAACCACCTGAAGGGGGCGGAGCTTCAGCCGTCAGAGTACCTAACGCAGTCCAGCAGTTGGTTGAGAGCTCTGGCTGACGAGGCAGGAGGCGGAGTCTCGTTCCTGGACAACAGCTGCGATTGGGCTTCGATCCGAGGACGACCGCTCAGGGATCGGCTGCTCCGCCTCTCAGCAGGGAATCACCACGAAGCCCTGAGGGTTCGGACGGAGGTCTGATCCTCATCCTGACGGAGGTCTGATCCTGACGGAGGTCTGATCCTCATCCTGACGGAGGTCTGATCCTGACGGAGGTCTGATCCTCAGTACCCAAAACTAACGATAACTGTTATTTTTGAGGGTTCTAAATGAAACCTTTGGAATGTTCTCCTCTGGTTGGGTTCTTCTAAGAACCCTCACTAAGGTGTTAAGTGTTCTACCAAGAACCTCATGAAGTTAGTAACTTTATTTAGAATAAAGTCTCAGATATGACTTATTTAAATAATGTATGAGTTTTATTTTGGTAGTACACATTGTATTGTATTGTAACTTTAAACTCTTATACAAACAACTCAAGTCAACAGCTGATTGTGTTTTTCGTTTTTAAATCAATAAACAACACTGATGTAACTTCAATGTAACCGTTTTTTTTCTTCTTCTTTGGTCAGCTAACGGCACTAGCTAGGCTGCTAACCAGCTAACAGATTTCACAAAAAGCGAGCGCGCGTGGCGGGGAGTCTACTCGATGACGGCGTTGGTGAGGGAGGGGGCCCGGCACAGTCCCTTCCCCCTCACCTCGAACCCGCGGCCTTTGTAGTTGGCCACGCCCCTCGAGTCCACCTGCAGGTCGGGCTGAAGGATCTTCCAAATCCTGTCCCTGGACTGCAGCTCCCGGTCCGGCTTACCTGAGACACAGATGTTGATGGTTACCTGGGACACGCCCACTGTCATTACCCTCCTGGTTTGTCACCATGGTTACCGGGGTAGTTGAGAAAGGTGATTCGGTCCCCGGGACTGGAGCCCGTGGGCGGGGCCAACAACTCTTTGCGGCCATCGTGGGCGGAGCAACACAGGAGGCGGGCCTGGGAGACCACGCCCCTCACCTTACGGGCCTTGATGTTGCATAGCAACACGACCAAGCTGCCCTGCAGCGGCAGAGGAAACGCAATTTAGATGAATGTTATTTTTAGTAAAGATGCAGATATTAATAAATAAAGTCTGAAAATATATTTATAACTACTTTAAGAACAAAGTCGTTCTGGAATAGAAATTTAACAATACAGATAATTAAGTTGATTAATTATCAACTATTACAAATTATATATTTCAATATCAAAATCCATAACACGGTGCTACTAAAGACGTTTGTAACATAATGTAACATTTCTATAATAAAGTTGTAGCATTTTGAATGCACAGTCCTCACCTCCTCCAGCTGTGTCTCCCCCCCCGGCTTGCTGACCACCGTTCGGGGGGCCGTCTCTCCGGCCTCCACCTCCTGCACCGTCAGGACGTCGGCCAGCGGGTGGCGCCGTATGCTGAGGATCCGCCCGACCCGCAGGTCCAATCGCGACACGTCAACGCGAGGCTCCGCCCCTATGGAGAGGGAGTCACAGGTGGGACGTCCTACAGTGAGAGAGAGAGAGAGAAGGATTAAGTATTCTTTTTTCATTCCTTTCCTCACTTCCTCCCTCATATCACCTTTCCTCTCTCCTGTCCTCCTCCTGTCCCGTCTCTCTCTACGGTCATGTAAGGTGGGGGGAGGAGCAGCCATGTCTCCAGCAGGTGGAGTGACAGGTGATGTGTGGGCGGGCCTTAAAGGTGGAGGAGGCGGGGCCGGGGAGAGCAACGCTTTCGCTGAGGGAAAGAAACAGAAAACGGTTTAATCTGTTGGTTAAATCTCTAAAGACGTAATGAAGATTTTATTAGATTAAATGATGCTTCTGGAACAAGAACATAGTTTTAGAGCTTAAGACGCAGGAAGACATGGAGAGCGAGGACATTGCACAAAGTGAGGTCATTATATTGAAAGTTAGAGCTTAAGACCAAAGTGAGGACGTTTTAGAAACGTTTAAACCCGTTTTGTGAATATTCCAGGAAACGTGAGAACATTGAACGTTGGAAGGACGACAAAGGAGGTCTGTCTACTGGTGGAGACTTGGCTTTAGGCTACGTGTGTGTGTGTGTGTGTGTGTGTGTGTGTGTGTGTGTGTGTGTGTGTGTGTGCGCCACACCGGGGCGTCTCCTCTGCTTGTCCTGCAGGGGGAGTCGGGGATGCTCAAGGTCTGTTCTTCAGCTTCCCGGTTATCCACCGGCAGCTTCTTTCGGGTCTGTGGTGGGTGGCCTGCAGCACGGAACAAACAAGACGAGTTTGATCTCCTGCACCCTGGGGTGCAATAGCTCTCAAACGTCATCTCACAAACGTCATCACACGAACCTCATCACACAAACCTCATCACACAAACCGCATCACTCAAACCTCATCACTCAAACCTCATCACACAAACCTCATCACACAAACCTCATCACACAAACCGCATCACACAAACCTCATCACACAAACCTCATCACACAAACCTCATCACACAAACCTCATCACACCAACCACATCACACCAACCTCATCACACAAACCTCATCACACAAACCTCATCACACAAACCTCATCACACAAACCGCATCACTCAAACCTCATCACACAAACCTCATCACACAAACCTCATCACACAAACCTCATCACACAAACCTCATCACACAAACCGCATCACACCTCCCGTCGCTGGATTCCACAAACAGACAACGTTTGAGACAAAGAGACAAAGGACATATGGACGTGGATTTAAATCCCAACGTGTCTTTTGTCTCTCACGCTGTTTCTCTCTAATCAGCAGCGCCTGAGTCCTGACGTAGTCCACGATCTGCTCGCCGTCCTTCGGGTCCAGTTTAATGAGCGCGGCGGCCAAGCTGAGGACGAAGAGCAGAGAGTTATTTGTGTTTCCTTCAATAAAAAGACCCAATTATCAACAACCAATAATCAATGTTTTTCTTCAACTTGGTCCATACAGAAACTTAAAGGAAAATGAAGGATTCCAAGCTTCTCCTCACTGGTTACACCTTAAATCCGTCTGCTACATTACTTCTTATTATATTTACACTATGAAAAGTCAATTCTGCAACACTTTTGTAAGATCTTAGTTCGTAGATGTTTTTAAGATTGTAGAGGAGTCGCCCCCTGCTGGTCACTACAGAGAAGTAGAGTCATTTCCTCATAGACGTCTATGGGAGCAGAGGAGTCGCCCCCTGCTGGTCACTACAGAGAAGTAGAGTCATTTCCTCATAGACGTCTATGGGAGCAGAGGAGTCGCCCCCTGCTGGTCACTACAGAGAAGTAGAGTCATTTCCTCATAGACGTCTATGGGAGCAGAGGAGTCGCCCCCTGCTGGTCACTACAGAGAAGTAGAGTCATTTCCTCATAGACGTCTATGGGAGCAGAGGAGTCGCCCCCTGCTGGTCACTACAGAGAAGTAGAGTCATTTCCTCATAGACGTCTATGGGAGCAGAGGAGTCGCCCCTGCTGGTCACTACAGAGAAGTGGAGTCATTTCCTCATAGACGTCTATCGGAGCAGAGGAAGTCGCCCCCTGCTGGTC